TATATTTTTTCGGGGAGATTTTGCGTTTTTTGGTCTAAAATGCGAAATTTTCTCAAAACATAATTAGTAAAAAGTTGATGTTGGTGAAATGTGGTGAAAAATAACATTAATTACCGCCAGAAACACGCAATTATGTCGCAAACTTTTTCTAGTCTTTAAATAAGAAGCTTTTTTCTAAAATTTTGGAATTAAGTCGAAAATCGTATCAAAAAAATTACTAAAATACATAATTTATTCCTTTTTCGAGCAATTTAGCACGATTTTAGGGAATTAGTTCCATAAGGGTTTTACTTTTTGAACGTTGAAGTGAGTTTTTAAGTTAAAAATGTAATTATTTTTCAAAATAATCTAAAAAATTGCCAAAGTAAATCTAGAAACGCCTGATTTTTTTCAGTTTTATGAATTTAGAGCRTTTTCTATAGAGACTTACCATAGTTAAAAAAAAATGGGTAAGTTATTTAAAAAAAAATGCAAAACTTTGTTTTTGTTAGTTTTTATAAATTTAGAGCGTTTTTAATGGAAGAATTCATAAAATATAATGTTTTGCGAAAACTGTTAAATTGATGGTCTGAAACGTATTGGATGATTTTTGTCAAAACAAGACAAATTAGACGTGGAAAATTTATTATTTTTTATTACCGCCAGAAACACACAATTATGTCTTTTAAAGAAGCTTTTTTTCAAAAAATTAAAAAAAAAACACCGAAAATGATTTTTTTAATTTCAGATTTGTCCGAATTTCGACGTGAAAACCCTCCTCGAAACTTCAGTTCGTCGCAAATCAGTGATTTTGTGCGTCCCTTGGCTCATCAAATACCTCTCAATGCTCGACACAGTCACCCTAAAACTCCCCTATTACACCCAAATCCATAGCACTCTTTTCTGGATATATCGCAATTTTGATTGGGGTCCCGACCCCAACATCTACCTCATCAAATTCTGTCTTGGTTGGCTATTTGAACTTCCACACATCCCCGACCACAACTACTCCTTTTTTTTCTCAACTCCACCTCAAAACACAACTCCCAAAACCCACATTGACCAATTAGAAATCGTCGATCAAGATATTTTATATTTTTGTTGTCCATATTTAAACGAAATCAAGAAACTCCTAACAACAACTTCAACCAATCAGATGATTACAATAAAGCATATAACTCCGGTTACTGCACAACAACAAACACCGGACGAAATCGCCCGGAAAAAACTCGAACAACAACTTGAAGATGCATTTTTCAATGGACAACCGATTTCGTTGCGAAAAAGTGTCGATTTTGTTAGTGAAAGAGTCGCATCGACTTGTGTTAAATATGTGTGTGGTGTTTTAGTGCCTGAATATAAGAAAAAATCACTTGAAAAATTCAAAAACTTGATTTGTGATGAAGATGTTAGTGGTTTGAAATTGAAAGCGAATCAGTTTGCTACAGAGTGTTTACAAGAGTTTCAAGAAGTTTGTGAGAGTGAAATTGAGAAAATTTTAGACAGTAAAGTGAAAAATGGAGTTGAAGCTTTATTGGCGATGGATGTTTTGCCACAGACAAGAGAGGTTTGTGTGGGGATTACGAGGAAAATGTGTAGGGAGAGGGTGAGGCAATGGGTGGAGGCACATGTCACGATTGGTGAGTTTTTTCAAATTTTTTTTTAATTATTACAAAAATTTTTGGTCAAATTTTTGATCAAAGTGAGACGTAAGTTTGAAATTATGTTGGCAACACTAAGTGGAATAGAAATACATGAGATAAGACTTGTCAATTTACATTTTTCAATGTTGCCAACGTAGTTTTAAGCCACCGGTTACTCATACAAAATTCTCATTACGAAATATTTTACTCGATTTTTTTTTTTGTATTTAACAAGTCATATTGCAAATGATTTTATCAAAACTATTCTAAATTGTTGTATTATAAAAGATTTTATTATAAAAATAAACCAAACCATTTAAGAGATTTTGTTGAGATAATGCAAAAAATCGCTAAATCTGATTTAAAATATTTTAACCACTAAAATTATTCACAAAAAAGAGATAACTTTGTGCACAAAAAAAATATTATTAGATGTTTACACTTGTCAATTTACGTAATATTTTGCTTTTATTTGATTTTTTTGGAATTAAAAAGTTTCAAATTGCAATCAATTTCCTCAAAATTATTCCCAAAATTATTGTTATAGTTTTTAGTAAATTACAACTTTTTTTCTTGTATTATAAAAGATATTATTGAAAAGATAAAATAAGCAAATTTTCTTTTGTATTATTTTGAGTCATATTTATTAGTTTTTAACAAACTTTACAAGATTTTGTTAAATTAGTGCAAGAAATGCGACTAAATTTGACTCTAATTGTATTCTTTTGTTAAAAAGTTGCAAACTTTAAGAGATTTTGTTGAAATAATGCAAAAAATCGCTAAATCTGATATCGTTTTTTTGTTTTTGTTTAATTAATGGAAGAAACCTTTAAATCAGAGAATACGACTGAATTTTTTCATATTTTATTTGAATTTGTTAAAATTGATGATTCTCGTAAAATGGGAAAATCAAGCTCCACTAGTGTTGTTTTCTACGATTTTAGGTGATTTTAGTTAAAATTTTACTTATTTTCTAAAAAAAATTGCTCTAGATTAGTGCAAAAAATCGCTAAATCAAACTCCATTCAGATTATTTCGATCTATTTCATTTATATTTTTAGTTTTTCAGAATTTGTATAAAAATCTGTTTTCTTCATTTTTATGATTTTTTAAAATTTTATCACTAACATATTTAGTTAAATAATACAAAACTAGCAACATTTGACTCCATTTATGTTTTTTTCAGTATGTTTCTGTATTTATTTCATAAATTATAGTTTTTGTTTGATTTGTTTTAGTTTTTAGCAAATTACAACTTTTTTGTTTTATTATAAAAGACTTTATTAAAAAAATAAACCAGAAATATTTGTTTTGTGTCATTTTTGTTAGTTTTTAACAAATTTCGCGAGATTTTGTTAAATTAATGCAAGAATTTTGACTAAATCTGACTAATTGTCTTTTTTTGTTAAAAACTGGCAAACTTTAAGAGATTTTCTTGAAATAATGCAAAAAATCGCTAAATCTGATTTCGTTTTTTTGTTTTTGTTTAATTTATGCAAGAAACCTTTAAATCAGACTCAATTTTTTCAGTTTTTCATTTTCTACGATTTTAGGAAATTTCAGTTAAAATTTTACTTATTTCTAAATGCTCTAGATTATTTCGATCTATTTCATTTATATTTTTAGTTTTTCAGAAATTACGACCGAAATTTAAAGAGATTTTTCAGGATAAGAGATCTGTTTTGTTTCATTTTTTTTTAATTTTTAAAGTTTTATGACTAACAGATTTCGTTAAATAATCAAAAGTTACAACATTTGACTTCCTTTTTGTTTTTTCAGTCTGTTTCTGTCGATTTATGTTATGTCACAAAACTCTTGCTTCTTTGTGTTCTTTTAATGTTTTTTTTTTCTTTCACTTTTGTTCAGTTTTATGCAATTTTAACCAAGGTTAATCTATTTTATTGAGAGATTTTGTTAAAAACTAAAGCAAAATGTCGCAAAATCGGACTCGAATTGTATTATTTCGCTATATTTTATTGAATGTTTAGAAATTTTAAGTCAAAATCTTTCCAATTCTGACAAATTCCAAAAAAAATGGAGGAAAATCCGTTTCAATTACGTTTATAAGGTTCTGTTCGGTTTTTATTAATTTTTAAATTTTTTTTTTATATTTCCTCTTATTTTAATCAATTGAGTAAAAAACGGAGTTTAATTGTTGCATTTTTTACTCAATTTGTCAATTTTTAGTAGATTTTAACAGATTTCGTTGAAACTAACTTTTTTTTAGTCAGAAACTGTTTTATTTGTCGGAGTTTTTTGAGATTTCGATATAAATTGTTGTTTTTAGTGATTTTCACCAAGGATTTCAACGACGAGATTTATAAAATGACTAATACGGAAACGAAAAAATTAAAAAAACCGCTTTTTATGCTGCCCCCAGGCGGCTCCAAGTCGCAACACAATGACAAAACAATCAGTGGCGCACATCTCGTTGAAAAATTTAGGGTATTTCATCACAAAAAAAAATTCACAGTGGATCAATTATCACAATTACAGAATTTAACAACTGACGTCATTGAAGGAAAACAAAATGTCTCCAATCAACTAAACACCCTATTGGACGCCACCATCAAGAGTATAAACGAAAGAGGGGACTTCAATCAGTGTGTTTTGGCTACACTGTGTACTGTAATACTCGATTTAATTATTTTATTACGTGAGTTTTATCATTTTTTTTTTATAAAACAAAAACACTTTGAATTGCAGTCGGCCATGATGCTCGTATTTTATCACAAGATGGCGTTCTGTCAAAATCACGTGACATTTGGTGTTTGTATTATAATGGTTGTGATGATCTTTTTAAATCGTTGTTATCACCACGAAATGTCATAATTTTGGGCCAATCAAAAGTCACGTGGGACGCATTTGCCCAATTTTGTGCGTTTCTATTGGAGCACAATCTATTGACTTGTGATAGTTTTGAATCGCAGTGTACTGGGATTTTTCGGACTGAGTGGGATCAGGTTGGTAGCACTGACACTTGATTAGTTCTAACAGTGTTTTTCAGGTAACTTTGACGTTTATTACAGATTTTTTCAGAACTTTTCACAAGTTGTATCGTGATCAAGGTGGCCGTGCGTCCGATTTTACTTTTCTACTTGACTTTTTCTCCGATTATTGTGGAGACTTGATTTAATTTTTTATTGTATTTTAATAAATAAATTTTATTTATTTAGAGTTGGCAGCCTTGTGGCTCGTCTGAGTGATCCCCACAGTGGTATTTCCCATCGCAGAAATTCTCTTTTGCGATGCAGTCACCGTTGAGGCATGGGACTGTCCCATTGGGACATTCTGTAAGTCGTAATTTAATCACAAGTGTTGAAAATGCGACTTACCATTTTTGCACCCAATTTCGTCATTTTTGTCCCAACAGTCGACGAAACCGTTGCATTTTTTCGCTTTAGGGAGACAAGAAGTGGCATTACCGCATTGGAAATGTGTCTCCAGATCGCAATCTACAAACAAGTTACCAACTTTACCAAAAAAAAAACCACTTTCCGCCATGGGCGTCGTTAAGAAATTTTTTAGAGAGGGGCAACCTCTTCGCAGTTTAAAAATACATATTTTATTATAAACACAAAAACATGTTATACAAAATAGGAAAATAAAACCATATTTAAATATAATTAAATAACACAAATCAGTAAATAACATGAACTAATAAATACTAAGAAAAATGTAACACTTGGAAATCAAAACATAAAATAAAAACTTTTTCAAAATACATTCAAAAAAACAATAATCAATAGAAATAAAAGAATTAAAGAAATAAAAGTTTTAAATTTTGTTTTTCTCAACCAAAATGTTACTAAAAAAGAAAATGTTAAAAAAAACAAGTTGCAAAATGAGCGTGTTTTTTACTAGAAACAGCCATTTTGAATAGTGTTTAAAGTCGATATTCAAAGAAATATAAAAAATGCCACACCCGGTATAAAAAAAAATACAATTTTTTTTAAAAAGTCTTAATTTTTGCTCAAAAATCAATTAAGTAAAAAATTACTCAAAAAACTGAAAAATTGACAACATTGCAATTTTTTTCAATTAAGTATACAGGGTGCTTCAAGGGTGACGCGTCAAGCAATACTGACTTTACTATGAAAAGTACAAAAGTAATTTTTTTGGCATTTTGTTAATTGTCAAATTGATAACTACTGAATTTTTTTTGAAATATGTATGAAATATTAATCCAGTATCATAAAAAAGTTAAGTACGGCCCCGGAATATCAAAAAAAATTCAAAAAAAAAATTAGTGGATGCAGTTTTGCCAACCATATAATTAAGTAAAAAAATTACTCTCGTAAATTTAATACTAAGGTCTGTAGGCGAAGAAATATAAAAAATGTCACACCCGGTATAAAAAAAACAATTTTTAGAAAAAATCTTTTTTTTATTAAAACATGCCCAAAAATCAATTAAGTAAAAACACACATGCCCCACCTTGCCCCCCCCCCAACTACGCCCATGCTTACCGCATTGAAATTCGTCGGATTTGTCTCGACAATGAATAAAACCGTCGCATCTTTTCGTCATATTTACACACATATTGCCACAATTGAATGTGTGTAGGGGACACTTGAGAGTGTTGGTGAGATTCGAGCATTGGTAAATTTGGTGTTGGAGGTCGAGCAGTTGGCAAAACTGCGTATTCACCGAGCAAAAACCCCCACAACCCGTGGGGTCTTTTCGATCCAACGGTTGGAGACATTTCGGGGACTCGACTTCCGTCAGTTTCAGACAAATATGACCGGAAGTGCAATTTTGGCAAAACACAAAACTCCCTAAATTGGTGGTATTTGACAGTTTCAAAGTTGGTACTAGTGTCACATTTTTTTGTCTAAAACACGTGAAAAACAAAGCGGAAATAAGCGCAACCATCAAACAAATGAACACTATAACATATACGACGAGTCGCCACTGGAATTTCTCACCGCCGCCTCCGATTTCGTTAATTTTCAAAACACAGCGGTGGCGGAAGAGATTTTTTGTGATTTTGACGCGACTATTGACACAATTGTCGAAAATTTCGCGTGAAATTGTCGGTATTTCCCCATTGTAATAGTGGATTTTGGTGAGTTGAACTGTGTTCGGATGCAAAATCATCGCAACTGACGCTTTTTAACAACCCCACCTGTTTTTCCCCCTTTTTCAAAGGGCCCACGGCGGGACCCATGTTTGTATCGAGTTGGCGTGACGTCATAGAAACATGTGTTGCTTGATCAATTTTCTACACGATCGAAGAAATGACGTTTTTAGACGCAAGGTCGCGATATACAGGGTGCGCCAGAACTCGCGCCTCAGAGAAAAATTTCAAGTAAGATACCAGGAACATGGAAAAAAATTCTATCTGTCAAAAAATTTTGACATTTATGTTTTGACATTTTTTATGTCTATTTAATGATACTGATGATTTTGTATTTTATATGTTTTTTTTATAATTATTTAGTAAAGGTACAAAAATTATGACAATATAAGACACAAATAACATTAAACTGAGTTACAATTTAGGATACAGCTTCCTTCTTTCCTCTTCTAATAGTCTGTAGCAAAAAAAATTGGAAAATTATTTTTTTAACAGAAATAAATAGTCAAAATGCAAAATTTAAACTCTCATAACTTCAAAAATTTTATAGATAAAATTTTTTTCGGCATTTTTCTCTGGGGCGCGAGTTCTGGCGCACCCTGTATACGTTGGAAATAACCACAATTTTCTGCGTTTTTTACTACAATTATTGACAACGTATTTGCGCGGTCTTGAACAGTTTTGTACAAATGGCAACGTCGTTATTTTTGTCGATTTAAAATACAGGGTGTTTGCGAATTACGAGCAATTAATGCAAGAATTTTGATTAAATCTGACTCCAATTGTGTTTTTTTGTTAAAAACTTGCAAATTTTAGGAGATTTTGTTGAAATAATGCAAAAAATTATTAGTTTAGTTTTAAGCAATTTTGGCAAAGGTTTATTTATTTTATTGGGAGATTTTATTAAAAACTAAAGCAAAATGTCACAAAATCGAGCTCAAATTGCATTGTTTCCCTATATTTAATAAATTTTAAGTCAAATTCTGACAACTTTCAAAAAAATGCAACAAAAATCGTCTCATTTTATAATGTTTTGTACGGTTTGGATCATTTTTTATCAGTTTTTTTTATACTTATTCCAAAAATTTCGATTTAATTTCTCTGATTTTGACCAATTTTTATCAAATTTTCGTGAATTAGTAAACCAAGAAATGAAAAAATTTGCCTCTAAATTTTTTACTCAATATGTGAATTTTCAGCAAAAAAATTAGTTTTGAAAAAAAGAGATTGAAATTAATACTCGAAATTTGTTTTTAAGATAGAAAATTAACAGTGTTGAAAATCGATCAAAATTTTGCCAAGAATCGAAAAAATTAAAAACTTCAAAATTGCTCTAAATCCACTCAAATTAGACCCAGAACAGTGTAGAAATGCGAGAAATAAATTCTTAAAAATTTGTCTGGGTGCGTAGAATATACAGGGTGTTAAAAAAAGATTGTAAAACATTACCTTCTTAAATATTTTACAATCTTTTTTTAACTCCCTGTATTACGAAATTGTTCAACAATGAATTTAAGTTTGATTTTTTCTTATTAATTTAGTTGGTAATAAGTGAAATAAAATCAGCTGCAGTCTCTGTACAAAGTTTATTAAATAATCGTCAACATAATTACAGGGTGATTCTTAAATAGACCGACAAAAATTTTATCACAGCTTTCTAAGGATAAATGGAGACAAACTGTACCCTTTTTACGTTTATACCTTTTAGGGGCAAAACCCCCTTGATCCGTGCCACTTACCGCGTTTATGAATTGTTGCAATCATCAAGTACATTTTCATCACGCTAATACCATGGTTTCCACTACCTGTGCTAACACATCAGTGGCGTACGCTTTACTTCGAAAATAATTTTAATAAATTTTATTTGGAGAACGTTTAAACAAAGAATTTTTTAAATATTTTTTCCAGCATGTTCTCATTTGATACTACTAAGGATAAAATTTTGTCGGTCTATTTAAGAATCACCCTGTATAATACATTTTCAAAATTTTATTACTAACAGATTTTGTTAAAATAATTCAAAAAGTTGCAACATTTTATTTCAATTATGGTCTGTTTCTGTCGACTTATATTATGTCGTAATTTTTTTTTTGTGTTTTTTAAATGTTTTGTTTCATTAGCTTAGTTTTAAGCAATTTTAGCAAAAGTGTATTTATTTTATTAGGAGATTTTATTAAAAACTAAAGGAAAATGTCGCAAAATCGAACTCAAATTGCATTGTATTTCCTATATTTCATTGGATTTTTATAAATTTTAACTCAAAAACTTTCTAATTCTGACAATTTTCAAAGAAATGCAACAAAAATCGTCTTTTTTTGACCAATTTTTATCAAATTTTCTTGAATTAATAAAGCAAGAAATAAGAAAAATAGCCTCTAATGTATTATTTCGAAATGTTTTACGCAATATGTGTGAATTTTGAGCAAAAAAATTAAATTTGCAACAAAAAAGACATTGAAATTAATACGCAAAATCGAAAAAATTAAAAACTTCAAAATTGCTTCAAATTCATTCAAATTAGGAGTAGAACAGTGTTAAAACATTGTATTCTATAAATGCGAGAAATTCTGTGTGTGTGTAGAATAAACAGGGTGTTAAAAAAGATTGTAAAACATGACCTCCTTAAATATTTTACAATCTTTTTTTAGTACCCTGTATTACGAAATTATTCAACAATGAATTTTAATTTGATTGAAATAAAATTAGCTGTCGTCTCTGTACAAAGTTTATAAAATAATCGTCAATATAAATATAATACATTTTTAAAATTTTATTACTAACAGATTTCGTTAAAATAATTCAAAAAGTTACAACATTTGATTTCATTTATCGTCTGTTTTTTTAATGTTTTTTTTATTAGTTTAGTTTTAAGCAATTTTAGCCAAAGTTTATTTATTTTATTGGGAGATTTATTAAAAACTAGAGCAAAATATAGCAAAATCGAACTCAAATTATATTTTATTGGATTTTATTAATTTTAACTCGAAAATTTACCAATTTTGACAACTTTCAAAAAAATGCAACAAAATTCGTCTCATTTGTGATTATAATGTTTTGTACGGTTTGGATCATTTTTTATTAAATTTTCTCATATTCCAAAAATTTCGATTTATTTCCTCTCATTTTGACCAATTTTTATCAAATTCTCTTGAATTAGTAAAGCAAGAAATGAAAAAAATAGCCTCTAATGTATCATTTCGAAATGTTTTACGCCATATGTGTGAATTTTGAGCAAAAAAATTAGTTTTGCAACAAAAAAGACATTGAAATTAATACGCGAAATCGAAAAAATTAAAAACTCCAAAATTGCTCCAAATCCACTTCAAAAGACCCAGAAATTCTGTGTGTGTAGATTATACAGGGTGTTAAAAAAAGATTGTAAAACATGACCTCCTTAAATATTGTACAATCTTTTTTTAACACCCTGTATTACGAAATTACGAATGGAATGGAGTCTGATTTTTTCTTATTAATTTAGTTTGTAATAAGTGAAATAAAACCAGCTGCAGTTTCTGTACAAAGTTTATTAAATAATCGTCAATATAAATATAATACATCGTCATTGTCCGAATAAAAATCAATTCCATGACCTCCTCCTCCTCCTCCTCCTCAGTCTTGCCTCACTCGACCCACTCGGGATAGGCCTCCAGGTCCCAAATCGCCGTCCCCAGAAAGGGGAACACTGCAAAAAGCACCAGAAGCGAAATCACCGCCACTCCAAGTCCCGCTTTCACCATCTCCGTCGACGACATATTACAGGGGGCTGCCGCAATGGCATTCGGGGGCGTACTCACCGGCAAACAATACGCAAACGAGCAACACAACGACGTCGGCAACATCAAATACAACGGATGCACTTTGGCCACTTTGGCCATCTCGGCCAAAACCGGCAACAGCACATTTGCCACGGCAACATTGCTACTAAACTGCGTCAAAACCGTGGCAAACACACACGAAATCACCATCACGGCAAACTTGGGCAACGTGGCCATGCCGTGGAGGTGATCCGCGATCAGTTTACTCATTTGGCTCTCTTTGGAGGCCTCGGCGAGGGCGAAGCCCCCACCGAGGAGGAAAATCAGCCCCCAGGGGAGCTTCTGCTGGATGACTTTCCAGGTGATTAGCGCCGGGGAGGGGCTTTTGGGGCGTTTTGACTCATCCTTGCTCAAAATGTGGATAAAATCAGGACGTGCAGGGATTATGAAGAGGAGGAGGACCACTATCAAGGCAGCTGTGGCGTCTTTGACTTTGTGTTGGGTGATTAATTCAGCCCATCCGACGATGAATTGGGGCTTCCGGAAGAACCAAAGTAGGACTGAGAGGACGAAAAGGGCAGCGACAGCCCCCTCATGGAACGACATGGGGCCCATCTCGCTGATTTTCGTACGGATTAGTTTACGAGCGACTGCAGCCCCCTGACTCCCAACACGAATCTTCTTTGCGTCTTGGGAATTGGGCCGGAAAAGACCCATGAACATCATTTGGAGCCAAATTAGGGACAAGGACATCATTAGTACCATCATGGGCACATTCAGGAGCATCCATTTGGCAAACTCTGGAAAAATAATAATAATAATAATAATAAACCTAAATTTAGCCATTTTTGAAATATTTGGAGTTTTTGAAAAATTTTTGGATCTGCACCTTCCACTTTAAAAATCGGTAACTCTGCTATTTTTCAAAATTTTGAATTTGTTTTTTTGGCGTTTGAAAGAGAAAGTTTAGATCTTTCTTTCGGTGTTTTCAAATTTTGAAAAAATTTTAAGGTTACTTTTGTAATAATTCAAATAGACATGACTCAAAATTTTTCCAAATGAAATACCCCAATTTTTATTTTTGTTAGTTTTTGTGTTAGGTTAATGCAAGAATTTTGACTAAATCTGACTCTAAATTTTTTTTTTGTTAAAACTTGGTTGAAATAATGCAAAAAATCGCTAAATCTTATTTCGTTTCTTGTTTTTGTTTAATTAATGCAAGAAACCTTTAAATCAGACTCAATTTTTTCAGTTTTTTACGAAAGTATGACTGAAATTTTTCATATTGTATTTGAATTTGTGAAAATTGATGATACAATTGGAAAATCAAGCTCCACTAGTGTTGTTTTCTGCGATTTTAGGAAATTTTAGTTAAAATTTTAGTGCAAAAAATCGGTCTCTAATTGTATTATTTTGCTGTTTTATTGGATTTTTATAAATTTTAAGTCTGAGACTTTGTAACAAATTTAAAAAAATGCCACAGAAATCGTCTCATTTGTGTTTATGTTCTGTTCGATTTGGTTTTTGTTAATTTTTTGATTTGTTTCTTCTCATTTTGACTAATTAATATGAAATTTAGCGAATTAGTGAAGCAAGCTTTAAGGATTGTGTTGAAATAATGCAAAAATCGATAAATCTGAGTTCGATTTTTGCTTAATTAATGCAAGAAACTTTTAAATCAGACTCATTTTTTTCAGTTTTATTACAAAAGTAAACTTAAAATTTTGGGATATGTTTTTTCAAAATTTCAAAAGACTGGAAAAAAGATCTAAACTTTCTCTTTCAAACGCCAAAAAAACGAATTCAAAAACTTAAAAAATGGCAGAGTTACCGATTTTTAAAGTGTAAGGTGCAAATCCAAAATTTTTTGAAAAACTCCAAATATTTCAAAAACGCCTAAATTTAGGTATAGGGAAAGCTGATGAAAACTCCCTTAAAATAACCCGATTAATCCAAAAACGCAGTAAAAAATATAGCTTTCCATTTAAAATAAGAAAGTTGAGACCGACTTCCGGTATAACATTTTGAAAATATTTTCATTTAGGAGGACTTAATGGTTTATGGCTATGTACCAATTTTCAAATAAATACGATTATTCCAACTCCCAATACTTCTAAACTGGGGTTTAGACGAACACCCTGTATATAAGGGTAAAGCCAAAGATTTATAACAATTAATGTTTAGAGCATGACTGAGGCGAGGGCCGTAAACTCACCAATTCCGGGACTTTCAGGGAAACTTGTCTCGTAAATTCCTTTGAATGTCAGGTTGGTACCACTGCCCACAATACAGCCCATTCCGCCAATACTAGCCGCGTATGCCGTACTGATGAAATAACACATGGTGGTCCGAGTTGGCTTTTTTGGGTCAGAATCCACCGATTCGATTTTGTCATTGTCGGCCATATTTGTTTCGAACATTTCGCCGATTCCTTGTGTTTCGAGCTCTTTGAGAGTAGCTTCAATGATTGGGATCATCATTGCTGTGGCTGCAGTGTTGGAAATCCACATGGAGACGAACATGGTGACGGTGACGAGGCCGAAATTCAGTCTCCTGGGGCTACAACCCACCTGGTGGAGACATTTTTAGTGTTGTTTGATTAATTAAAAAATTTTTTTTGATAAAAAATCAGAGCAGGAAGCAATTAATAAATAATGAATTATTACATAAAACAATAATAATTATGTGTTACGTGTTTGAATATTTCTTATCAATGTCAGAATCCACTTATGGTCCAGAATAATTAACATAGAATTAAATTATAAACATTCACTGTTACCAACTTAAAAAAACTGAAAAATTCAGTAGTTGTATAATTTACAAGGCAACCCTCGTATGAAAATTACAATACTCGATGGCAATGGTAATCACTATCTCATTTTGTTTTTTATTATTGCTCAATTAATGCAAGAAGTCTTTAAATCACACTTGATTGAATTACAACAAAATGCAAAATTTCTTTTATTATAAATAATACTCGTTATTTTTTTAATTTTTTTTCTATTATAAGATTCATCAAAATTATTCAAAAAATTATAGTTTTGTTTGATTTTTTTTAGTTTTTAGTAAATTACAACTTTTTTCTTGTATTATAAGACTTTATTAAAAAAATGAACCAGGAAGATTTATTTCGTGTCATTTTTGACTAAATTTGACTCTAATTGTATTTTTTTGTTGTTGAATTAATGCAAGAAATCTTTAAATCAGACTTGATTTTTTCAGTTTTTTTTACGAGAATACGACAGAAATTTTTCATATTTTATTTGAATTTGTGAAAATTGGAAAATCAAGCTCCACTAGTGTTGTATTCTACGATTTTAGAAAATTTCAGTTAAAATTTTACTTATTTTCTAAAAAAATTGCTCTAGATTAGTGCAAAAAATCGCTAAATCAAACTCCATTCAGATTATTTCGATTTATTTTATTTATATTTTTAGTTTT